ATCTAGTTGGAGTGGCTTTCTGTATATGTAACACTTGTACATAAACCCCTTTGGGCCTGTGAACTCACTCGAGTTGCATTTCATAAGAGCACACGTCACCATCAGCCTACACCCGATTCAGACCACAATCACAGGGTTTTGGTACACATGGAAAGTATGAAATGATTGGGGAGTAATTAAATATCAAAAGGAGAACAGTCATGAAGTAAAGCTGATATCTGTACAGCAAATACCCTTGCTTTTGCAGATGATGAACAGGTCGAGCAACATAGCCAAACCCTGAATGCAAGCCTAAGAACACATCAACATCCCACTGCGCAAAGCCAACAGGACCAGGCTGGTGAATCCGGAGCCAGCACAGCTCCAACACAATGTTACACAGATGCTTCTATTCTACCTGATGAACCAGCTGCATCACCAAGAAGGGCAGAGCTAGGTATATTTTTCACCACCACTCAAATCATCTCAAAACTGATATTCGCATACAGGCTGCAGCTCAAGACACTAAGTTTCTTCTGTTCGAAGCACAAGCTCTTTGCCTGGCGACAAAAGTATTACCATGCTTGCAATTTTAGAACACCGGTCTTCTCACAGACAACCAGATTCTGGTTGATGCTGTAAACAACCCGGGTCAAGATTTCCATATTCCTTGGAGACTCAAGCCTCTTCTGACTGATTTCTTGCAAATTGCAGAGTCCACACATCTCTGTAAGCAAAATCAGTAGAACCAAAAACAGGTTAGCTCATAGGGTATCGTGGCGCCTCAAGCTAGAACCTGTGCTAGTGCTCAAATTTTTACATGCTCTAAGAGACATCACAACTCCAGCTGTCCAGTGCTTCAGGCGTTATGTCTGATCATCTGGATCTCTTTCATTTACTCTGTTGTTAATTTTAGTACGTGTCCTTATTAAAAAAAGAATATTAAGTGAGCATAATGAACAACAGGTGCTCTACCTTGATTCCTCAATCTTGGAGAAGCAAAGCACAAAGCGTTGCATCTGCTTCCAAAACTCTTAATACAGCAATACATGATAAGCCCTAAAAATAGTCAACAAGACTCTTGGTTGTTTCATGTTTTGCTGCAATAAGTCTTTCGACTAGATAGAAGGGAAAGTGCTAATAATCTGTCACCCGCAAGCCGCAGATTAAGTGACCATGAGTCCAGCATAGGGTATCAACGCAGGTCATCCTTTGCCACAGACACTATTTTGGTTGAATGAACTAACTGAAAAACAGGTTATGAGCAGAATACTTCCAAAACTGAAGGATACAACATTACATGTAAGTACATAACTCCAGAGCCGAATATCATTAATTCTCAGATCACAGATTGTATTTTACAAGTTTATGTACGACAAAGAAACTCCGCCTATGGTGGGACGCCTTTGGTGTCCCAGCATAGCAGGCCCCAAGCCCTGGTAAAGGAGGAGGGTTGTGTTAGGCGTGGCGAGTCAATGTAAAAACTTAGCCACTTTAATGGAGATGAAACCCGAAAGAAAATCGTTGGGGCGTAACCCTCTTAGCGACGCGCCATATCGGAACCCGGGTATGGTGTTAAATGGGCAAGGGCCGGGTCGTCACCCCCGTGACGCGCCGTGTCGTGATCTGGGCATGGTGTCAAGTGAGCAAGGATCGGGTCGTCGCTTCCTTAGTGGCGCGCTACATCGGCGCCCGGGTGTAGTGAAAAATGAGCAAGGGTCTTCGCATCTGAGTCGACGGGTGCGAAGGGTAAGAAAGCTAGTCGAACCAACTAGGATCCGTTTAGGTAGTTGGAATGTAGGGTCACTTACAGGTAAGTTAAGAGAATTAGTTGATACCGCGACTAGGAGGCGTGTAAATATATTATGCGTTCAAGAGACTAAATGGAAGGGTCAGAAGGCGAAGGAGGTGGATAATACAGGTTTCAAGCTTTGGTACACAGGGACAGTCGCGAATAGAAATGGAGTAGGAGTTTTGATTGATAAGAGCCTCAAGAATGGTGTGGTGGGAGTGAGAAGGCAAGGAGATAGGATTATCTTAGTCAAGCTTGTCGTTGGTGATATGGTCTTGAACGTAATTAGTGCGTATGCCCCCCAAGTAGGCCTCGACGAGAGTGCTAAGAGACAGTTCTGGGAAGACTTAGATGGCCTGGTTAGAGCTATACCTAGTAGTGAGAAGCTTTTTATAGGAGGAGATCTTAATGGGCATGTAGGTACTACAAGCGCAGGTTTTGAGACAGTTCATGGAGGTTTTAGGTATGGTAGTAGGAATCAGGAGGGGGAGGAAGTTCTGGACTTCGCGGTAGCTTTTGACCTGATGATAGCCAACACTTTCTTTAGAAAGAGAGAATCTCATCTAGTGACCTTCAGTAGCGGACAACACTGTAGCCAGATTGACTTTGTCCTCGCAAGAAGAAAGGACAAACGAGCATGCTTGGATTGCAAGGTGATACCAGGGGAGTGTGTTGTTTCTCAACATAAGCTTTTGGTGGCAGATTTTCGTTTTCAGGTGCGTGCCCGTAGGGATAAACAAGCTAAGATTTAAAGAACAAAGTGGTGGAAACTAAAAGGGGAGACGTCAGAGGTATTCAGGGAAAGAGTTATCAAAGAGGGCTCTTGAAAGGAAGAAGACGGCATAAACAACATGTGGGAGAAGATGACAACCAACATTCGGAAGGTGGCCTCAGAGGTGTGTGGAGTAACCAAAGGAAGTGGAGGCGAGGCTAAAGATAATTGGTGGTGGAACGAGGAAGTCCAAATGGCTATTAAGGAGAAGAAAGAATACTATAGACGCTTGTACCATGATAGGAGTGTGGACAACATAGAGAAATACAAGGTGGCAAAAAAGACTGCAAAGCGAGCTGTAAGTGTGGCAAAGGGTAGAGCGTACGATGATCTTTACCAACATTTGAGTACGAAGGAAGGAGAGAAGGACATTTATAGGATGGCTAGGGTTCGTGAGAGAAAGACACGGGACTTCAACCAAGTTAAGTGCATTAAGAATGAAAGGGAGCATCTTTTGGTGAAGGAGGATGAGATCCGACATCGATGGCAAGAGTATTTTGATAAATTGTTCAATGGTGAGAATATGGACACAACCTTTCAGTTGGATGACTCTTTTGATGACACCAATAGGCGCTTTGTGCGGAGAATCCAAGAATCTGAGGTCAGAGAGGCGTTGAAAAGGATGAAAGGAGGTAAGGCGATGGGACCAGATGGTATCCCAATCGAGATGTGGAGATGCCTCGGGGACATAGCTATAGTATGGCTAACCAAGCTGTTCAACCATATTTTTCGATCGAACAAGATGCCTGATGAGTAGAGGAGAAGTATATTGGTATCGATCTACAAGAATAAAAGGGATATTCAAAGTTGTACTAATTATCGGGGAATTAAGTTGATGAGCCATACTATGAAGCTATGGGAGAGAGTTATCGAGCATCGCTTGAGAGCAATAACGCGGGTCTCTATGAACCAATTTGGTTTCATGCCCGGAAGGTCAACCATGGAAGCCATTTTCTTAATAAGACAAGTTATGGAGCGGTATAGGGAGAAGAAGGACATACACATGGTTTTTATTGACTTGGAGAAGGCTTATGATAAAATACCAAGGAATGTTATGTGGTGGGCTTTGGACAAACATAAAGTCCCAACGAAGTACGTCGGGCTCATTAAGGACATGTACAACAATGTTGTGACTAGAGTTCGAACAAGTGATGGAAACACGGATGACTTTCCGATTAGGATAGGACTACATCAAGGGTCAGCTTTGAGCCCTTATTTGTTTGCTTTAGTGATGGATGAGGTCACAAGGGACATACAAGGGGACATCCCTTGGTGTATGCTTTTCGCGGACGATGTAGTGCTAGTTGATGAAAGCCGGACAGGAGTGAATCAGAAACTGGAGTTATGGCGGGAGACTTTGGAGTCCAAAGGTTTTAGACTCGGTAGAACTAAAACTGAGTATATGAGATGTGACTTCGGCACTACTACCCGGGAGGAGGAAGATGTTAGTTTGGAAGGTCAAGTAGTGCTTAGGAAGGATACCTTTCGATATTTAGGATCAATGCTACAGAGGGACGGGGACATTGATGAAGATGTTAGCCATAGAATCAAAGCAGGGTGGATGAAGTGGCAGCAAGCGTCTGGTGTCCTATGTGACAAAAGGGTACCACAGAAGCTAAAAGGCAAGTTTTATAGGACGACGATTAGACCTGCTATGTTGTATGGTGCAGAATGTTGGCCTACGAAAAGACGACATGTTCAACAGCTAAGTGTCGCGGAAATGCGTATGTTGCGTTGGATTTGCGGTCATACAAGAAGGGATCGAGTTCGGAATGGTGATATACGTGATAGATTAGGGGTAGCGCCAATTGAAGAAAAGCTTGTCCAACACCGGTTGAGATGGTTTGGACATGTGCAACGGAGACCCCTAGAGGCACCGGTGCGTAGTTGAATCCTAAGCCAGGATAGTAACGTGAAGAGAGGCAGAGGAAGACTGAAGTTGACTTGGGTAGAGGCAATAAAAGGAGACTTGAAAGGATGGAATATACCCAAAGACTTAGCCTTAGATAGGAGTGCTTGAAAGACAGCTATTCACGTGTCTGAACTTTGATTGCTTATGATGGGTTTCAACTCTAGCCTACCCCAATTTGTTTGGGACTTAAAGGCTTTGTTGTTGTTGTTGATGTACGACAAAGAGTTACATGAAGAAATCAAAGGCACATCTAACCTTCAACAGTTATTAGCTGCTGGTACAACCATACAAGTTAAATAATGAGACCTATACCATGCAAGGTAGCAAAAAAGAATCAGCAGAGCTGAATGATTACCCAATTCCAAGCATCCTATCTAATACAAAGCACAATTGTGACATATCTGAGCATTCTGTTGGACCCTTCCTGTAGAATGCCTTGATCACATTAGCAAAAATCCTACAATCTAAAACCAGTCCTTTTATTTGGATATCATCAAACAGCCTCAATGCCTCACGTATATTTCCACTCCTAACCAACCAATACGTCAAATGGCCGCAGGGTAGCCACCATTGATACGCCTAACAAAATTGGCAGCTTGCGACCTCCTCCCAGACCTAAAGAGACAATCAACCAGTGTATTGTATGTGGTGGTATCTGGGGCAATCTTCCCAGCATTCACATCAGCGAACAAAAAACCAAGCTCACCTTCCTTTCCGTCCTCATAGAACTCATGGAACAGAATGTTACAAGTCACAGTGTCTGGCACGAACCCCTTGCTGCTGAACACATATTTGGCAAACTGAAACTTGCCAGCTCGGCATAGGCATGAAATCAAAATGTTGTATGTCTGCACATTGGGTGTTATTGGTTTCTTGAGCAGATCCGTGAACAACTTTAGGACATGCAGCCACTTCCCTTTCTTGCAGAAATGATCCATGACTGTGTTGTATGTCATGACATCGACCACAAAGCCCAGCTCTTGGCACCGCTCCAGGACCTCCTTGCCTACCCACATATCAAGATTCTGGGCAACATGGTCTAATTCTCTTATAATCCGTATTTTTTAGCTTCTTTTTTCAGCCGGAACAGTATTTCTCTCTCACACCAAATCAGTCGAAACAGTGTTTTTTCTTGTTTTCAGTGAAGCGAACGGGGCCTTTCCAGCTGCCGAAATGCTTCCTCACTGTATCCAGAGCGGCAAAGCCCAACAATGTAGGTGCTGTATGTCACTGCATCTGGTTCCCACCCACTCCGGTCACTCTCATAAATAACCCTCTCGACAGCGTCAAAATCCCCAATCTTATACAACCCCTCGATGTATATATTGTAGATGACGACATCAGGGAGGCAACCAGAGGAACGCATGGAGCTTATGAGTTCGTCAGCTGCCTGGATGTCGGCATTATCGAAGACTGCCTTGAGGATCGGCGCGAATGTATGTGGTGTCAGTGGGTGATTGAGGGCGCGCATTTCGTCGAGCAGCTGGAGGGCGTTGTCGAGGCGGCCGGCGCGGCAGAAGGAGAATATGAGATCGGTGTAGTCGATGGGGGTCGGCGGGAGGCCGAGTTCGGTCATCCAGAGGAGAACGGAGTGCGCGGCGGCGGGAAGGTGGAGGTGGGAGGAGTAGACGTGGAGGAGGAGGGAGAAGACGGCGCGGTCAGGGGCGACGCCGTTGGCGAGCATGTCGTCGAAGAGGGACGCGGCGTCGGCGGCGCGGCCGGCCTTGGCGAGCGCCGACATGGCCGAGGAGTAGGAGGCGGCGGTGGGCGCGCACGCGGGCGACGAGAGGCGCATGCGGCGGAGCACGTGGAGCGCCGCGTCGCCGTCGCCGTCCCGCGCGAGCGCCGCCAGGAGGCGGTTGTAGTCGTGGAGGGTGTGCGACGACGTCGGTGCGACGGCGGCGGCGGCGTCCGGGGTCGCCGTGGTGGAGTGCGGGCGGTGCGCGCGGGGGAGGAGACCGCCGAGCTTTCGCATGGCCGCGCACACCGCGGCGGACACCGGGGCGGAGGTGGCTGCGGCGGCGGCCGGCCATGTACCGGCGGGCATAGAGGATGGCGGAGGCAGAGAAGAAACGAATTGGGAAAATTGCCTATATACCGTTAAAAGATGTCAACTTCAGTAATATACCATTAAAAGATCATCTCTTTGCTATCTAGCATCGAAATATTACCACGTTATTGGTTTCTACCACTTCCGTGACCTTTGCTAACGTTCCGTGTATCTCCATTCTTCGAGTCGTCTTCTTCGGAATGTCTTCCCTCGTGTAACTCAACCTCGCAGCTCCCGGTCGACGAGGTCGATGTTAACAGGGTCCTCGAGGAACTTGGAGAGCGTGGCGAGGCTGCTGGTGGAGCGCCAGGACTAGAAGACACTGTTGGAGAACGACCAGTTGTGCGCCGAGGTGTGCCGCGGCGGCGCGTTCCAGGGCAAGAGCGAGGGGCCCATCACCTTCTCCTCGACCTACAAGTACTACCCAACTCTAACGCCTACTATGGCTGCGCCACCGCCGCGGGGGGCCACGGCGTTCGTAACAAGCGGCGTGCGCTAACGTGGTGCAACCGCATCCTGTGACGCGGCGCAAGGCTCAGGCAGACCCGGTACTGCCGCTGCGAGTCCCTGCTGTCGGACCACCGCCCCGTCCGCGCCATCTTCACGGTGGAGGTGGACGCGCCTAGGAACCTCAACTCGCTCAGGAGCTTCTCCATGTCCAAGAGGTTCGACAGGGTTGGCAGGAGCCCGGGCGACCACCTGCTCCGCGCAAGGACGATGTCAACAAAGCCAGTTGCCTATGAGTCTCCGACGAAGAACTGCAAAGTAGAGTCAAGCGGGAGCATGAGCGTAGAAACCACATGGGAAGATAAAACACGGGTGGTTAAAAAGCGCCGGCGGCAACACACCTTGCCGGATCCAGCCATGGCGACGATACGCTGGGCGCGGCGGCAGCGGTGTGTGAGCAGCCGATGCGAAGGTACCGGCACCCCGTCTCCGCCACCCATCCTCGCGCGCGTCGGTGTTGGTGCTGCGCCAGGCCACCGAGAGCGGGACCGGCGCCCACGCCTCCGCCGGCGCCGTCATCTCGGCCGGTGAGGGGCCGCATGATTGAGTTCGGCAAGCACACGGGGCAGTGCTGGGGACGCTGCCGCCGTCGTTCTCTGGTGGGGTCGTGGCCGAGCTCGACTACGGGGGCACCGCGTCGGGTGGGCCTCGCGCTCTCCAAGTCCTCGACGATCCTTGACCGCGTCGAGTGCGAGGTTAGGAGCTGCGAGGTTGAGTTAGACGAGGGGAGAGCTTCGGAAGAAGATGACTCGATTAACGGAGATGCACGGAACGTTAGCAAATGTCACGGAATGGTAGAAACCAATAACGCGTGATCTTTCGTTGCTAGATTGCAAAGATGTGATCTTTTAATGGTACTCGGCCACTTTTCCCATACGAATTTGCGGCGCGGATGCGTAGGCGTAACGAGGGACGACGACGCGAGGCCGAGGCGGCACACGGCAGCGGCCTACGAGGTGGACTGGAAGACGGTGACGGTGAGATCTGAGCATCAACTGTCGTCGCTCGTCAGACAGACTCATAAAAAAGCACGCTTGGTGCTCAAAATCATCGACAGAGCACGAGACCTTGCGCCTAAATTCCGAATCACGGCTACCTACTCAACGAGGTTAATAGCAACATTGTTAATAACAACATTATAGACCCAACAAGAATACTATGAGTAAAACTGCGCATGTTGCCTTTATTGAGCTAGGTTGCAGTCACACAAAGTAGTAACAGACAGGTACTGTGAAACACGAAACATCAATTCAGCAAATTGCATTGTTCTTTGAACAATGGCGGTCACGAATTCAATTACACGTCCTTATAAAAAAAAACAATTACACGTGGGTAATAAAACTTAAAAACTAAAAAACATAAGCAGTAACTATTGTGTCAAATCCTGAAGCGAGAAGTCTCCCGAGCTCGCCATGAAAGCAGCTCAAGACCTCGAGCAATCGAGCATCCCAATGGAACTCGGCTAACTATTGCAAAGAACTCAAATTGAATTGCAGGTAACCTAATAGTACCACTACATATTTCTAATGGGTTAAGATCGCCATGTTGGAACTTCACAAGATCAGCACTGCCTGTGACCTATCCGCCGAAGGTTCCGTAGTCCGTTTGCCCAGTTGGCAGAAATCACGTCAGGTCCCGGACAGCAGCCTCGGAGATTTTCCAAGATCCATCATTCTGCCTCCTCAGTACGTACTGAACTTCGTATGTGCTGCGATTATAACCATACAGATACAATTACCATGTTTACGTCGTAGAGCAGGACATGAAAGAATAATCAACAGCAATGACATCTACTGAAAATACCTGTAATAACTGGGTTTCTTGGGCTGGGAATCATCAACAAGCTCAGCCGCTTCCTCAAGCACAGCATCAATTTCTGCTGCTTCACCAGCACCGACTTCATCCAAGATTATCTCAGCTCGAACAACATTAAGATTCAGCAGCACAAATCTCCAATAGCAGGACTGGTCCTTTGCTAACAACGCCAAGTCTTGCCACTGTTCCAAAAGATTGCATTTGATTACGCATAAAATAAATAAAGCTAAAGCAATAGCACATGCAAATAGATAACCGACACATAAACACACCTTAGAGAGCATTGAACCATCAAGAATCTCTGGTAGCATGTCAGTTTGATAGTCAGGGCCAAGAGCTTCAGATTTTATGTCTTGCCACTGTTTTACAAGTGCTTCTGCTTCTTGAATATCCATCTTTTGCTTACAAACTGCAGCAGTGATATCATTAGCTGCTGGGTGCTTATCACTTGCGCCGCTATTTGAATTAAGCCTATCACTCAGCCAAAGCAATTTTGACAAATTTTCAAAATGCTTCCTGACACCACTGGTGATAAAAGAACCTTCTGATGCAGACGCTTCATTCAAGGACGACACGGATGCAGACTCTCTACTTGGTTTCGTGTATCTCGCATGCCCAAACTGAAACTTGACCAATTTTAATGTGCTAAATACAACAAAGCCTAGGAGTGCACTATAGGCAAGCTTTCCTATAACATCTCCACTTAGTCCCCATAATTCCAATGTTCTGAGATGGGATCCAGGATTGCGCTTCAGGGGAACAGATGCTGTCCCTGAACCATTTACTTGCCTATCCATTGATGATTGGAGCCCCAAGTTGGCAGGTGCAAGTTGCTTAACAGCCTCCCCCAGATGGCTGTTTGAACTCAATCTTGGGGTCTGCTCTGCTGAAGTTCTGTTGCATGCTGAGGCACTAGAAGATGGCTGAGAGCTCAAAAGGACTGATCTTGGGGATCCCAGTTTCTGCTTGGATGTGTTAAGGACGCGCTTAGGAGCTCCAAAAAAGTTAGCCTGCCATAAGAGAATAAGAGAACTAAATTATTTCACAAAAGATGTTGTGGGGGATGTGATTACTAAAAGTAGCATTGTACAAACCAAAGATGGCGGACAATCTTTCGTATCTGCAAAACGAGAAAGGGCCACATCCTTCAGCCACAGTTCCTGGTAAAAAAAAGCTTTCTGCCATGAGATATATGAGCAAGTAATGTAGAATATAGCTTATTTGCTATAATTGAACAGATGCAACATACCAGTGATTGGTTGACAGTAACCTTGTCACTGCTGTCCTTCTTTTTATCTAACCCATAATTCTTCGAATTTGAACTTCCAGTACTTTGAAGCTGCTGAAGCTTTTCAAACACTGTGGTGCCAGTTTCCTGAGAGCTAATCATTAGTCCTAGTAATGCAAGGAACTAAAACTAATAAATCATTCAAGTTGAGATAATAAGTTTATAACCTCTCCAAGAAGAAATGAGCAAAAAGATTCCTCAAATTTTAGGTCTGTGCTCTCAGATGCAACTAAACATTCACAGATGGTTTTAGCTTTCTTGATCTGCACAGAGGTAAAACAAATTAAAAACAATGCCAAAAAAAGATCAGCAACTTTTACAGGCTGCCAAGTGGGTGATAAAAAGAGGGTACCAACTCAGTCTGGCGGGTTGTAAATCCAAATGCAAGGTGAGCAAGCATCGCCATGTAGAAGCAGTTGAAGTCAACTACAACCCGCTGGCTCTGGGACTCCAATGATCTTTTATTTTTACGAGTTGTAGCCAAAGTGTCCCAAGAAAGAAGATCCACAATTTCAGTGGCTAATAGTTTGTCCATTGCTTGACCCAAGAAACAAGGCCAGTCATGGACTCTACAAGATGATTCAACATCAAGGCCCTGTCTAAGCAGTTCACAGAGAGCTGCAATAGCACCTTGCCTGCGTTCAGAATTTTCAGGTGTCTGAGGCAAGCTTAGAAGCTCCAAAGTGCAAGCAGGTGCAAGCTCTTCAAGTGATTCTTCAATCTGGATCACCAATGAAATAAGTTATGGCATGGTTTTGTATTTACTATTTAGAAGAACTTGTTCATGTAGAAGTAATAACATCATACCTGTTCGAGAAGGGGCATCTTCTCCAAAGATGGTTTTCTCCTCAAAAGATATTGAGCGCGTGCCAGAGCCTCAAATCCAAGGGACACTTTACTCTTTTCAAAGCTGGCTTTTGCTATAGAGCACTACAACGAAATGCATGAAACCATCTAAATGTGAGAGGGGTTCCCAAACATTTCATCGAGCAGCTCTTAAATAAAATATGGAAAAGGATTCTTATGCTATTCTTACTTCTGCTAATGCCATTGCAAGAAGCACATCGTGAACATAAGGTTTAGAATCAGGGCGTCGTAGAGCCGCCTGACCAATTTCCAAAACAAGCTTCTCTTCTCCAACCTGAAAAATACTGCAGCATCATACATGGATGAAGAGCAAATAGACCAGTACTGCAGACTTTTCAGTACACAATGGTAAGTCAAATATGCATGTTTAACTTTGACATCCTTCGTGTTTGGGTTTTCAAAGCTCACAGTGCATTTCAGCATAGAAAATTTTCAACAGCGACAATTTCGGCATTTTACACTGCCTTGCCTGATGTCCTGATCTGAAGAAAGGACATAAGTTATTATTATAAACGCAGCACAAAATGATCCTAAAGATACCTGGGTATGCCCTTTCACGACTATTTCAGAGCCTATGGACATTAAGTTACAGATTCTGCTCTATTCTTATTAAGTTATATTACATAATTTGGCGTCTTAAATCCAAGACCTAACATGTGAATTGTATATTACTAAGAAAAAAAGACAGATGTAAAATAAAGAACAAACACAGACGGTACTCCACAAAATATATATCACTTTAGTGGTCGCTGTAACTACAAACTCACTGAACATATAGCCAATTAAAGTGAAAAGTCTCAACCAAACAAAACCAGCATTAACTTGTTAGTGGTGTGACTGGTTCCAACAGACATTTTGATGAGAAATGTCCGTGTTATGCATTACCTCCTGCAAGACGCACAGAGCAGCAGGCAACCAGCTCCAAGGTATATGAAGAGAGGACCTAGGTGGAACCTTCTCCTTTATGTTTCCTGCGTAATCTTGTTCGAACAGAAGTTTATCTCTGACATCTACTAGCAGAGCCTGACAAAAGGCAGCACGCAAATGATAAACATCAGGATTATTGCATCCCCTCACAAAACAAAACATACATAAATAGATATAGTTGCAGAAACCAATTAGGAACCTGTCTGAAAGTGGACACCTCAGCTGTGTATCCATCTTCTATCCCAGCAATTTTCAACTCCATTGCAGCCTTCACGATCTCATCTTTCTCAGCCTTCTCTGTAACGCCTAGCATCTACACGGTCATTGTTAAACTTAAACATGTCAACCAACAAGTGAAAATAGACAAATAGTCCAATCAATTGTGAACTGATCAGACGAAATTTCAGAACGCGTTCACACATATTTTTTACTCAAAAATGAGGGAAGCGCATAAAATTACAGATTTGTACAATGAATTCGACTTGTTATAGGAAAATGCTGATTCAATCTGCAACCGCCTAGACAATTAATTGACAGGGGGCCGCGGAAAAACGAACCGAATCAGATCAGGCGGCGATCAGAGCAACAGAAGGTGAGCGTCATTTCGAAATTGCAGTTGACTCGAACCATTCACCTGATAGCACGTGACGGGGATCTCCACCATTGGTGCAGCGGGATAAGCCTCCTGCCTGCCGCCCTCGGCCGCCACCGGCGCGGCCTCGGCCACCATGGCACGCAGGGCCGGCCCTCGCCCACCGCCGGCAAGTCGTCCACCCTCCGCCAAGGAGGACGCATTGCCGTTCCTTACCCCCGCACGCCGCGTCGAGACCGCCGGGTGAAGCGCCGCCGCGGCAGCGGAGGCCACAGTCGGCATCACAATGGCCGGGCTCTAGAGAACCAACCCTAGCCGGAGGCCTCCATGTGAGGGGGGAGCTTTTGCGGGGTGTCGGGGGTTTTGCGGGGGTGGGAATAAAGCAGGGGGCGGAAGGGAGAAAGCGCCAGTGATTGAAGACGGGGAGGGAGAAGGAGGAGGAGGAGGAGGAGGCGTCGTGAAGGCGAAGCCGGATGCCGGAGGGATGGAGGGGGACCGATGGATCGTGCTCTCTCCGTGAACTTGGTCCTTGCGCGCTTTGTACACGTGGCATGGTAGTTCGAGAGAGTTCAGGTTCTGACAGTGACATGCAGCCAGTATTTTTTTTTCTCTTTCTCACACTTTGGCTATCCAAGCAATTTGATTTTTTAAAAATGTTTTATATATAGTTTTGAATTACAGTACATATGTTTGATACGGGCATTTTGGAAGGTAAGTTCTGGTTCATACTTCATGGCCCAGTAAATATAGAACAGCTCTAACATAGCAAGTACTGAACTGTCCTGGATCCACAGAAAGAAACAAGTTAGTAGGATGCATACCAAAAATGTCCTTTTCTCTGTGTCGAGGATCACTTAGATTTTGTGATTGTTTTCCCATAAAAAACGAAAGGTCCACCTCGCTCCCAAAGCCAGAATTTCGGAAAGAGCGTTACTTCCAAACGAACAGGCCGAACGGGCCGCTCGCGATCCGTTTCCCCGGCACTTTCATTTACTGGGCCGGGCCGAATTCTGCTCCTCAAAAGACGACTTGGAAAAAAAAAAGAGAAAAAAGTCCACATTACCTCCGTCAACCTGCATGAAAGTCTATTTTTCCTCCTCGAACTTCAAAACCAGGCAAAACACCCCCTCAACTTTTAAAACCATTCATCTTGCCTCCCTGACCCTGTTATAAGCAGTTTTAAAAGCGGTTTTATCTTTTTCTTTTTTATTTATTTCGGTTGAATCTTTAAAAAATCATAGTAAATCATAAAAAAAATCATAAAATGGAAAATTTAATTTTGTTGGACTCCATATGAGTAGATCTATAGAGTAAACATATAATATGGTATGCTTTAGTATAAAGTTTTTGCTGTAGCTTTAAATCTATGCTTTTTTGTAATTAAATAGAATAATTCATAGTTGCAGTTTCTATGGTCTAATTGTGGTGAAATTTTTATAGTGGGCTAATTATTGTATGCTTAAACTATAGTAAAAATTTCATACTCATTGGATCATGTATACCTTAGTTATAGATTTTATTTAGATTTATGCTTGTTAAATATAAATAAATATATAACTAAGCTATATATGATCTAATGAGTATGAAATTTTTACTACAGTTCAATCATATAATAATTAGTCCATCATAAAAATTTCATCATAATTAAAACATAGAAACTACAGCTATGAATTATTCCAATTAATTACAGGTGAGGAAAAATGAACGGTTTTAAAACATAGAAACATAGAAAGATTCAGTCAAAATAAATAAAAAAGAAAAAGATAAAACCGTTTTTAAAATTTCTTATAACCAGGTCATAAAATGAACGGTTTTAAAAGTTGAGGAAGAGTTTTGCTCGGTTTTAAAGTTGACGAATGAAAATCATACTTTCGCTAAAATTGAGAGGTAACGTGGACTTAAAAAAAAAATTGAGAGGTAACGTGGACTTAAAAAAAAAATCCGCCCACTCGCCAACAAATCTCGCCCGCGCGGTACAGAACTGGTGGCGCACTGTCCGTTGGCATCTTCCAGAAGATTCCTCTCCTCCCCCACGCGCTGCCTCCGCTCCGCTCATGGCGTCCGCGCCGAGCACCACGGCGCCCACCCTCGCGCCCACTCTCCGCACGCCGGTCTCCTCGGGCCCCCGCAGGGCCCCCCTCCCGGCCGCGCTCCGCCTCTCGCGCGCTCAGCCCGGGCCGGCCGGATGCCGCGCGGCGCCAGGTCGGCTCGCTCGCCCTCGCGCGCGCGTCCGGTGCGGCGCGGCGGCCAGGTTCATTGGACAGGACGAGTTCCCCGCGGAGGTGCTGGAGTCAGAGCTGCCCGTGCTCGTGGACTTCGTCGCCGACTGGTGCGGGCCGTGCCGCCTCATCGCGCCCGTCGTCGATTGGGCCTCCGAGGTATTAGGTTACTCTGCTGCTTGTTGGTGGATGCTTATCCATGTGTTTTGTTCGTCTGTGCTGGTGTCATGTCGTACTCTGATAATGACGGATTAAGGTAATTTGGTAACATCGACGACGCTAATAGAAGCCAAAGTATCAGATAAAGTAAGGAACAGCCTTTTAAGTGGGGCTTGAGACAACAACTGAGAAAAGTGAAAATACTGTACTTTGTCCATAGTCCCGAGTTTGTGATTTGAGTTGACATCAGTATACAATCCAAGTCCAGTTTTTGTTGTGCTGCAATTCGGTCGCCAAAAGGCTTTAGAAAGGGAGCACAGTGTTCATCAGGTGTGGAACCTATGAGGAACACTTTTTTTGACGAAGGTAAAATTGGCTTTTATAAAGCATATATAGAGTATTACAGGGGAAAACACAAGAAGAAAGAAAAACAGGCATGTCGCTGGGGAATACTGGAACAGCATGTTTGATTCAAGGCAAGTGATACAAACCTGAAGGACCTGATCCATTTTTTTCGATCAAGTTCAGGGGGGAGTGCTGCCCACCTACTATATTGAACGAAGGAGCTGAAAGCTCACACAATTACAGCATACTCCCGGCATACCGGAAGGTGTGCAGTTTTGGAAGAGGAGGAGGGGGAAGGGAAGCAGAAATGGTTAGTCACAGATTGTTACAGCAGGATCTAAGATGATCTACCCAGGCAATTACCAAAGCCTTGTCCTCTTTGTAGCGACAAGCCTATTTTCCAGCGTCCTTGATCGCCGCTTGCAGCGCACCTGCCGTGGTGATGTCCTCAGCTTCGAAGATCAGGGCGTTTCAGGCTTTCCAAATGTGCCAGAGGATGATGAGCATCATGTCCATGCGGACCTTTTGCAGGGAGGTTGATGGTACGCCCAATTGTCCATGGCAGCTTTTGATCACCGTCAAGCAAATTGATATTGAGTTGATCCCACACTCTCACTGCCCTGGGGCAAACAACAAAGATGTGGTCTCCTGTTTCCAAGATGCCGTGGCAGCTGGGGCAGAAGGAGTCTTCCAGCGCCTTGATGTTTTTCCAGAACAAGTTGGCCCAGGAATTGATTCTGTCGAAGTGCACAAGCCAACCGAAGAATTTTAGTTTCCCTGGAAGTCTGCACCCCCAGATGAGCTGTGGCCCAGGAAGGATGGCATCATTTGCATGAAGAGCTCTGTAGGCATCCCAGGAGGAGAATGGCTGCAGAAGGGGGGTGTCAGAGTTGTCGTTAAGAGTGAACGTGGACAAGGCAGAGCGGGAGGATCAGCAGTTCTGTACCAGCTTGATTGGTGAGGCGGGGGCGGAGAATGGTCTCGAGGCCCAGGGTTGGCCCAGGGTAATGGCGTCCCTGATGCTGCAGGAGGGCCTGCGACAGTGAGAGAAGAGAGCTGGGAAGGTGGACGCCATGATTGGATCATTTCCTAAATTCAAGAATTGTATTTAATAGTCTTCTGTAGAAGCTATTAGTTAAATAATTAATGTGCATAGAAACCATTGGTTAACTAAACTCTAATCATTGGCAGCTCTTAGCACTTTAGCAGAATGTGATGCTTTAAACATGTGCGTAAGGGAACACTATTGCTTGCTTCTAATCAGAATTATCAGCTTTGATAAAGTCTAATCTGGTGACACAGGAATACAATGGGCGGTTAAAAATTGTCAAGATTGATCATGATGCCAATCCACAGCTGATTGAAGAGTATAAGGTTTTTGGTCTCCCGACTTTGATTCTCTTCAAGAATGGCCAAGAGGTGCCAGGTAGCCGATATGAAGGGGCAATGACAAAAGATAAGTTCAAGCAATACCTGGAACCTCTCTTGACTACAACAGTTGCTTAAGATCATTACCTGCAGCTTGAGCACTGAGGATGCCAACGAAATTGGCTTACCCTACGCATTGGGAATGTTGAAGAGTTTTTCCTTGCATGAGCGTCATGTTTAGTTTGTAATTAACTATGCTGCAGGATCATGTTTGACTGTATGATTGTCATTTGCGTATATTTTTTTTTGCGAAAGTCATTTGCGTATATTTGGTACAGTATACATGAAGGGTTGTGATGAGATATGCCAACACTAATTTTAATACAAGCAAGTTCGTTTTCGATATCTTTGTGGCATACAATGGTTTGTTGTTTCCAAAATTAGATGACTGATACAAATGGTCAATCTGCACTGTAAGTTTTGAAATACCCATGCTGTATTCTTGGTCAAATATCCATTGTTCTGTTTACCGCTTAGCGTTTAGGATAACACTGAAGTATCCCTTGGCCTCTGAGGTTAGCCAAAATATCAAACGCATCATATGAACTGAAATACAGAACTACCTTCTTTCCATAGCTTGATGCATTCAACCAAAATAGTACAGAACTAGCTTCCATTCCATCAGACCAAAGTTCACCTGATACAAGCTCGGTTTCTGTCAGACATGGACTGAAACCATGAAGACCCGGGCAGCTTCAGGATTTCTGCTCCCATGAGCCCTCTCACCCTTCTTGCGCCGTCCCAATCGTGCTGGCCGGCGAGCGTGTTGCATAGCAACATGTATGTCGACGGGTCATCGTTCTCGAGCGCAAGCGCATGCTCTGTAGCCCTCCTGCCAACAGCCTCGTTGCCATGACGGTGACAGGCACCAAGCAAGGTCTGCCAGACCAGAACGCCAGGTTGGAACGGCATCCTTGATATCAGCTCTTCAGCCTCCTGGATATGGCCTGCTTTGCCAAGGAGATCGACCATGCAGGCGTAGTGGTCCTCGCCGGGCTGAATGCCAAACTTGTCCTCCATGGCATTGAAGTAAATCCAACCTTCGTCCACGAACCCACCTTGGCTGCAAGCATAGAGAACGCAGATCAAAGTGACGCGGTTGGGAGCTACACCCCTCAGCAGCATGTCGTCGAACACCTCCACAGCTTCCCGAGCTCGCCCGTTGTGCGCGAAACCCATGATCATCGCCGTCCAGGAGATAACAGGCTGCTGCTGCATCGACTGGAACACCTTTGTGAGCACAGGCCACTGACCCGCATTTTGCATACATGTCGATGAGCGCATTGTTGACGCCAATGTCGGAGTCGTCTCCCAGCTTGATCACATACCCGTGAACTTTCCTTCCTTCGTCAAGGTCGGTGAGGCTTGCGCAGACATTAGCCGACGTTGCAAATGTGTAGTTGTTGGGCATGACTCCGTCCAGCATCATCTGACTGAGAATGCCAATCGCCTTGGCAGGCTCACCGCAGTGTAGGCAGCCAGTGGCCATCCCTGTCCACGACACAACATCTTTGCCGCGGATCTCGGCGAACGCCATGGTGCCATCTGCTAGGCATCTGCTCTTCATATACATCTCCACCAAGGAGTTCCCCACATACACATCATCGCCAAAGCCACTCTTGACGACCTGGGCGTGAACTTGCAGACCGCTCGCCAAGCTCGCGCTAGCCGCCAGTCCAGAAAGGACTGTGCTGAACGAGAACCCGTCGGCGCCAACAGCTTCCCTGGCCATCCTTCGCCACAGGATCCAACCCTGCACGCTCCAGTGGCGCGCGAACCCCGCGAGCAGCGTGTTCCAAGAGACGATGTCCCGGATGGAAGAGCCGTCGAACAGCCGCACCGCGTCCTCGAGCTGACCGTGACGGGCCATGGCAGCGAGGAACGCGTTCGTCAGGAAGACGCTGGAGCCGAAGCCAAGCCGCACCGAGAGCGCGTAGAGCTGCGGCGCGCACCCGGCGCCTGCGGGTGCGAGCGAGCTCGCGCTGAGCGCGCTCGCCAGTGCGAACTCGTTGGGCGGGCACCCGGCGAGGCGCATCCGGCGGAATAGCGCGAGCGCGTCGCGGGGCCGGCCCCCCTGCGTGAGCCCCGCGATGGCGGCGGACCACGAGACGGCGTTGCGGCGGGGCATTTCGTCGAGCACACGGAGGCCCCGGCGGTGGAGGCGGCATTTGAAGTAGGCGATGAGGAGGTGGTTGTGGAGGAAGACGTGAGGAGGTGGTTGTGGAGGAAGACGTGGAACGTGAGGAGGCCCGGCTTGAGCAGCGCCGCGTGGAGGGCCGCGGCGAGGCGCGGGTCGGCGGTGGCGGCGCTGCGCTGGAGGAGCGCCGCATAGGGGTAGGAAAGGAGGTGCTGTTGCTGCTGCTGGTGTGAGGTGGTTGCAGCAGTGAAGGCGCGGGGTTCCACGGTGGCGGCAAGGGGAGGACGCCGCACGGCAGCTGGTGGGCGCGGGCGCGGGCGCAGCGGCATTGCGGCCGCACCGGCTCCGTTGTGCCAAGACAGGGCACAAACCCGGCGCAGCCGGGCTTTGGTATTTCGTGTCCCAAATAAGTGGGATTTGGTACAGTAGTTTCGCATGAAAAAATCAATACCCTCGCTGATTTCACATGAGACCACCTTGAACGTAGGAATTTTGTAGAAATTGTACAGAAATATTACATGATCAATTCATTTTCACAGGAGAAAACAGAGGAAACAGTAAGTTTTCCTCTATTCCAAAGTGTGGACTGAAAGATTTCAACTTGGTGAATGAATGGGCGTTACCTAGGAACATTGACTCAACGAAACAAAGCTACTTTCAAAAAAAAAAAAAAAAGGAATGAAACAAAGCTTGCATTAGAATGAAAACCACCACCAACACAGTTCTTCTGTATTAGCACATTATGGTAAAGGTTCCAGAAAGAAAAGAAAATGGACATATTGCAGAGAGGTTCAGTCATTGACAAAAAGGATGGAACCATTGAGTCGATCCAAAAGTGGATCACGTTCATCTGACAGCAGGCATCTAGAGATTTAGCACATCAAGTGAAGGAACCAAGAATCATCTTACAAGATGCAACTAGACAGCAACAGCTACGTCTACTTTGGGAGCATCTTGTAGTTTCTTCTGTGATTCTTTTATGTACTTCCACCCACGTTTGTTAACCCCGCTGATCCTAGTTGGGGCGTCTGCAGCTTGCACACCTACAAGAGAATCTGATTAGGAGACATGACTTTTTATGAGCTAATAAAAGATGCCTTTTTCACTCCAACTGTAACTCTGAAAGGCATCAACAGTGAATGGTTCAGTATTGTGCTCCCTGACGGTTGAGAGTGACCAGAACACAAACAGCCAAACAGGATATGCTTGAGGGGAAATCAGTCAAAACAACATGAATTTAATCATGATTAGGACACTTCGTCAAACAGCTGGCGAACTAAGAAGCATACATTAGATCATTTTAAACAAAATGCAAAACAAGCTGCTATATGTAAACACGAAAACATGCATATGTCCATTGGATATTCTGAAAGATGTCTTCATATCCTTGTATTATTCAAAAAGAAACTACAGCACAATAACTAAAGATTAGGACACTGGCTGTTGCACACAAACACGTACATAGCATACGTGGACTTACACGCTAAAACCAAATCAATAAAATATTTGAGACTCAGTCACTTGTATGCCTTGATAGATCTCAGAAATTGCAGATAAATATATTATTCAAATGATTAATTCAGGACAAAAACACTAAACTGGCTCGAGAGTAATCCTAGTTTCACACCTCAATTAGTTTTTTTTAAAAAAAATCTTGAACATAACAACAAATTCATTTATCTCTCGCCTCATAAATGAACTCGTGGTCAAGATGTAATACTCTGGATCTGCTTTCTTCTTCTTGAGAGAATAAATAGTTACTGATATTTAGTCAACCATCCAACCCTTCAATTTTGGAAGTCAGACACTCAATAACTTTTGTGTGTAAAACTATATAAACTCTTTTTTAACATTATTATTTGAAAATTCCATCACATGCTGTTTCTACTGATAGGTGCCTTCATACAGTTACAATTTGCTAACCTCCTATATTTTTTCCCTTGATGATGTTGCTGGAGATCGAACCAATGGCCACATTATCCAGCTGCTAGTGTTATTCCTTACAGTTCTGAAAATCACGTCCTAAAAAGTCTTGATAGAAACAATGCTAACCTTCTCCATGCAAATGATCAACTTAAGTGGTATGTTCATCTTCATTAATCGTGTTGAGAAACATGATATTGTCAAATCGTGAGACCAGGCTCACCACCTTGACAAACTCATCTCGGAATTACAATTGTGGTCCATTCAAATCAGTCTGATATGTCGGGCTGAGAATGTATGACACCTTGGAAGGTCTGATTAGTGATTATCTTGGCAAAGGTGTTCTTAAGGTCTGATTCAGTGCACATGTATTGTACTTGATATATATGCTATGCACCATAGTCACTCATTGTAATGTACTGTAGTATATTTAAGATTTAATAACACAAAGTCGATCCTATGCTGTTCAATCGAGCTGGTTTCATAACCACTATGTGTTGTATTTGTGATAAAACTGATCTGGAAAATATATATGAAGTACTTTCACTAGGTAGTTTGTGACTTAAATTTCTTTTTGCTCAAATGAGCTGAACTAAGATAATACTTTTACTTATTTCTTTTTTTCCTGCTTCTTTACTGGATCCTACTTTGCAGATCAATTTACAGTTTTGTGACAAGAATATTGCTACTTAACAATTTGTTTTAGTGAGCACGCAAGGACCAGATCAGGAATTTAATCTACAGCTTTGACTTTTACTTGAACAGAAGCTAAATTTTGTCTCTCTTTTCTTTGCGTGTGTTAGGGCAAATGTATAGACCTACGACTGGTACCAAAGAAACAAAGGTCTGCACTGAATTCTTAGAAGGCCCCAGTTGGACCTCCTACTAATTGCAAAAGGTGATCAACATATTACATTGGGAATAATAAAGGATTTTAGGAGATGGCATTTATGTCAGTAGAGTCTTAGAATTGAAATGGTTTGCTGACAATTAAAGATCCTCCTTTGTTTAAGGTTACGTGATCTTTTTTTATTTGTTTTGTTCAAGAATATTGTTGGTCAGACTTTTTTTATATTCCCACCAGTTTGAAAATAGTAGGAATATTATTTTCATTGGGACAAGCCTTTGACAAACAGGTTCTTTATTTATACATGATTTTTGTGATACAAAAAGGTGTTATTAGATTCATATTGAATAATATTTACATGAATATGATATTGTATCAAAAAATAACTGGTTCCTCTAATTTGTAACCCCTTTCCTTTTTTTTGACCTCTCACCCAATAATAGGTGTATTAACTTGCTGTTTTAACACCCAAGCTAATTTTTTGCTAATACTCTATAATGCACTTGTATAATGCCACAAAATGGTCTCGAAAGTTTCATTGGCATTCCTGTATTGTGTATGATTTTTTATATACATGTGTGCCATGCCTACTAGTAACTTAGTAAGGAACAAAGGATGCAGAGAAGGGGGTAAAAATACCAACCTGCTTTGTACCGAACCCCCACGCCTTTCCATGCCGACCATCCTGCATTGCAAATATCAGGACAAAATCAACTGGAATGAAATACAGAGAAAAAAATCAATGGAAGTGCGCAGGGATAGGGCTCAGGGACTGGATCACCTTGTACAGGTTGATCTTGGTGATCTGATAGGAGACGTCGCGCCAGGTGGTCTTGGCAACCTTGTATCCGATGCCCCACTCTGGCAGGAACTGCACCACATCGAACAGATTCTTCTTCTTCCTCCTCTTCGCCTCCTTCACCGTAGCCTCGGCCACCACCGCACCCTCCGCCGCCGGTGTGGCAGTGGTACTCAGGGCTCTCTGTGCTGGCAGCGCTGTAAACCCAATGGAGCGCCGAAGCAAGCACATCGCACGCTGCGCCATGGTCATCGGAAACCTATGCAGCACATATAAGGATACGCGTGTCGGTATCGCGCTGATACAGATATTTCGAATACATAGGGTTTGGGTGCTCCGTTTCGCACGGCAGGAACGGAACACCAGGGGTGGCCGTACCTGGTGATGCTCGTCGCCGGCGAAGGTGCTGAGGATGGAGATCTAGGCACCTGGCGTAGGGCGGCCGCCAACCGTCGCCGGCCCCCACAGAGGCAGACAGCGCACGCGACGGGCACGGGAGTATGCCGGGAGAGAGCCCGCCGCCGCCCGCCGGGGAACTAGAGAACAAAAGGCAGTCCACAGGATGTAGGGTACGGCGCACGGGCCACTAACAAAATTGCTGTTACATCCCTCCCTATATGGGCTGAAATTTGAATTTGGGCGAAAACTAGCACATTCACATATCTGGGTCAGCCCGTGACAAACTGGGCCGAGACACAGACACGCGGTGTCTCTGTTCCTTGCCCGCTTAAGCCCTCGCCCTCCTCCTGCCAGTTCTGCTTGCTCCCCACGCCGACCGGGACCCGGCTCAGCCTCTGTATAGCATCACCGCCGCCGCCGCCGCCCACCTCGCGCGTTCCACAGTCCTCCCGCCCTTCCCGCGCCTGGTCTCCCCCCCTGGCGCTCCCGATGTCGTCTTCCGCTGCGGCGCTCGCGTGGCGCCGCACCCTCCGCGACGCCCTCCTGCGCGGCTCCGCGTGGCGCGGCGCGGCGCCCGCGCGGTACGCCAGCACGGCCTCCGCGTCCGGCGCGCCGGCGGAGGCCGCAGACGCAGCCGCGCCGAAGAAGGTGCCCCCGCCACCCCGCAAGGTAACAGCGCTCGCTCCCGCCGCCACCGTCTCCTCGGCATTTGGACATACACTTCACGTGCCGTGATCTTGCTGAGCTCCCCCCGTTCTCCTTCTCAGCAAAGCTGGCTAGCTAGCATGAGGAGCGGTAGCTTTTGAGTTGGTGGTCTGCGTGCTTCTTATTTTTGTCTTGCCACTTTTAGCGGCCCTTACTGTGTTTGATGCTGCTGATTCGTTGCATGTTTTATGCTGCCTTAATCCATTGTCTTAGGAAAGATGTCTTTCGTTAAACCTTTTGCCACGGTTTTTTACCATCTGTCTTGACATGGACATGATGTGATACCAAAACTAGCTCTTATCAGTAATTTTTTAGTACAACAACAGTATAGGGCTGACTCTTCAATCAGGGAGTCTGAACATGTTACAAAAAAAAAGTGATCTTTCCAGCAATGCCAATCAACTGAAAAACTTAATGCATTCCTTGCTGTGAAAGATTTTGTGAGGTCTCAATCATAGATTGGATTTAATTAAGCAGGCAGCTAAAAAAACTTCATGAATTAACTGTGATTTCTTCCATTGCCCATTATTTGGGTTTTGCTTCATTTTTTTTGTGTGGTTATTTTCACTGTGGCAGGGAAGGCTTTTAACTGGGGCCATGATAGCGTTGGCCATTGGTGGAGGTGCTTATGTGAGTACCGCAGATGAAGGAAAGTTTTGGTGCGTGATATTGAGCTCTTGACTATTAATTCTCTAGAACGGGTTTTATTTGGAATATAGTGGAACCACCCCCTTATGTGCTTGAAAAACTGTACTAACTGGTATTTTTGAAAGCTCATTAGGCTGTAGCCAATGAGTTATTAATTGATTACCCCTTCACTGAACCCCTTCTGGTCGTGCAGCGGCTGGTTATTCAAGTCGACAGAACTCGTGAACCCACTATTTGCACTGCTGGATGCAGAGTTTGCTCATAGTTTAGCTGTTAAAGCTGCTTCCCATGGATTTGTTCCAAGAGAAAAGAGACCTGATCCACCAGTTCTTGGGCTAGAGGTCTGGGGAAGGAAGTTTGCAAACCCAATTGGTCTGGCTGCTGGCTTTGATAAAAATGCTGAGGCAGTTGAAGGTCTCTTAGGCATGGGATTTGGATTTGTGGAAGTTGGCTCTGTGACACCTCTTCCTCAAGAGGAAATCCCAAGCCTCAATTTTCAGATTAAAGGAGCATGGGTAAGCATTTGTGTTTTGTTACTGATATCAAATTGTTCCATGCGAATCAAGTTCCAGAAAATTCAGAATGGTGTAATAATTAGTTACTTATGCTGCTGTTTTCTTTGCTTCCCTTAAGTGCTGTAATCAACCGATCGGATTCAACAGTGAAGGAATTGTAGTTGTTGCTAAGCGCCTTGGGGCACAACATGGTAAGCGGAAGATGGAAGAAACTTCAAGCTCCATGCCTCCCTCAACCAGTGACATAAAGCAAGGAGGAAAAGCAGGACCTGGAATATTGGGTGTCAATCTTGGCAAGAACAAGACTAGTGAAGATGCTGCTGCTGATTATGTGCAAGGGGTTCATACATTGTCACAATATGCTGATTATTTGGTACCCGTCCTTTGCACATACTAATTTCAGACTATAGTTTTGCTATTTCCGGTTTCATATGAGCTGTAGGTTCAGATAAATTCTGTTGTTAGAACCGTTGCATTTATTCATTTTATGCATTCTCATTTAGTTTTGCCTGATAAACAGAATGTCTGAACATTTTCTTTTTCAACCTGATCTTGGTGTCCATTGGTCGAACAGTCACAGGTGCATGATCGAGTAGAGAATTAATGCTACTTAAGTACACTTTGGTCACGTTGTTGTGTCTCAGCATGAAATATCGTGAAGTTTGATGGATTTTCTGGGTGGACAATAATGTTTGGACCTTATTTAATTGTGAGGCATGCTTCTACTCTTAATGAAGGTCATAAATATTTCTTCCCCAAATACTCCTGGTCTTCGCAAATTACAAGGTAGAAAACAACTGAAAGATCTTGTGAAGAAGGTGGGTAGCTGTTTTAACTGAAGTGTCTTCGCTACGTTAGCATGGGAAATCTGTATGGCTCACACTGGATGTGCAGGTGCAAGCTGCACGAGATGAGATGCAGTGGGCTGAAGATGGACCTCCACCATTGCTTGTGAAGATTGCACCAGACTTGTCTAAGCAGGATCTTGAGGATATTGCTGCGGTGACATATTGAACTTAGCCTTGTTCTACAGACTTGTACATCATATAATTGAGAATCTTATGCCTTTTCTTAATGTTTTCCAGGTTGCTCTTGCTCTTAGGTTGGATGGCCTGGTAGGTTAACAATCCTCCCACAACTAATTTTGCCATACACTGACTAGCGTAATCTTGTGTGACTTTCATGCCTATTTGTGCGTCTCTCATATAAATATTGTGCTAATCCTGCTCATTATTTTATCGATGTTGACCAAACAGATTATATCAAACACCACTGTTTCCAGGCCACCACCTGCAGATAAAGATCCATTGGCTCAGGAAACTGGTGGATTAAGTGGAAACCTTTGTTTGACTTATCTACTAACATTCTCAGGGAGATGTATATGCTTACACGGGTACGTGTTACCCCCTATTGCTTTCATGAAAACTACATTTCTTTGCTTAAGCATCTTTGCACTGCTCAGCAGCTGTATTCTTTTAGTAAAATAGCTAGTTATTGGAGCCTTGTTCATGCACAACTGACGTGTATCTCTTGCAGGGCAAGATTCCCCTCATAGGCTGTGGTGGTGTGAGCAGGTAATGGGATTTCTGTATACTTAACTGAATCTTTTGCACTTTCAATGCACATAATTTCAACCAATCTGTATACTTAATTACAGTGGTGAGGATGCATACAAGAAGATCCGGTCTGGAGCTACACTTGTTCAACTTTATACTGCTCTTGCATATGGTGGTCCAGTTCTTATACCCAGAATAAAGGTTAGTATAAGTTAAACACCATTGTTACATATGAACCTTGCATGTTGTCTTGCATCACTATGTCCTTAATTCAATGTTTTGGAAGAGAAATAAAAATGACATTTTCATAGCCAATACTGTAGGATTCAAGAAGACATAGGTATATTTTCCAAAGAGCCTCTACTCCATCTAATGTGTGCTGCACTTTACAAGACTCAAATACATTGTTCATTAAGCTAATGATGAGATACTAATAGCTCATTTGCCATTTTCAGGCTGAGCTAGCAGAATGTTTGGAAAGAGATGGCTTCAAATCTGTTCAGGAAGCAGTCGGTGCTGATTTCAGATGATCCTAGCAGATTGCCGAGAAGGCCTGAATAACCGTTCCATTAAGTTCATATGAACTTTTGTGTAAGCATGCTTTCCAGTTTCATTTGGCCGGTACTTTCTTGGGTGAGTGGTACTCATTAACCTAAGCAACGAGCAGCTGTATCACGTGCCCATACATGAGCTTTGGTTTTTACTTGCCTGGGTTCCAAGCAAGGTGTACAACAGATTTTGGTCAAAGTTTGTGTATATTTTATGGTGTCCTTTTGAAAGATAAGTTTTGGTTTGATGCATTAGTAGCTCAAGATGGCTTTGAGGTACCCTTACCCTGATATATCCGAAATTGCAGTTTGACCCATTGTTAATCCTCGAAATAAATGTGTTTCCTTTGTACTGCACTGCATTAACATGTCTGTATATTGTTTCCTAACTTAATGATAAGGCAGTTCTTACTTGTCAGTTTTGAGTAAGCAACGTATATGGGGGGCTTTAATTGGATCGTCAGTCATCTTTTAGTTGCTCTCTTATTACAGGATAGTAGGATGAAATATCTGTACACCATGACTGCAAGTGAGCCTCTGTGCAAGTCTAAGAAAGCATCATGAAATGTGTGATGATGTCCTTCCAGCTGAATCGCAACTGATCGTTCATTAGATGCTCGACCATATATCATCTACGATTATAAAATAAAAAAAAATGGACCAGACTAGCTTTCATCGTTTGGTTCCTCTCATGTCACTTAATATTGGGGATGAGATATCTAAATATCATGATGGTGCAAGTGCCCATAATTCCCCACTAAAGCTCATTTGAAATGTCTCCCATTTATATAGAAGTCTAAGAAACACATCATGCATCGATAAGCCTGTTCGTTGGTTGGTTTCTGGGCTGATAAGTCTGGCTGGTGCTGGTTTGTTGTGAGAGGAAAACACTGTTGGCTAGCTGATAAGCTCTGCCTGAAACCAACAAGCGAACAAGCTGGAACTAAGCTGACCAGTGACCACCCCTGCTGCATGTGCATGAACATGATCCTGGACTTCAACTACAGGGTTGGTAAGGTGTCATGTTAGTTGCTGCTGCTCACACTACACATCCACACTCAGCCTGTTCGCTTGCTCGTAAACGAACGTAAATTTCCAGCCGGGAACAGTGTTTTTCTCTCATACTAAACCAGCCAGCAGTAAATAATCCACGATACGATACGGCCTCCCGAACAGGCTGACTATCATTAGCTATTTATGTAAATAAAATATACTGCTAGTGTGAGGTCTACTGGCCCCTGGTGGTTGATAGATTTTGTTTATCATTGAGCACTTGTCGTGTAGTACCCATGTAATAGCCTACTAATAGCGCAGCATCGAGCCCCACAACAACGAGGTCGAGCCTCTCTTTAGGGCCTTTGATTTTCATAAGTTAGGTGACTTATTAAGTTAGGTGACTGAAAACCAGTGACTTATAAGTCATGTCTGTTTGGTTGTAGATGACTTATAAGCTCATTAAAGGTGTGGGCCCTATACAAAAAAGGGTGACTTATAAGTTATAAGCAGGGGTAAACTAACTTAAAACTTATAAGCAGGGGTGACTTATAAGTTAGTGGTGTTTGACAAAATAAATCATTTTTTTTTTATTTTTTAACTTATAAGTAGGTGACTTATTTAGAACCAACGTACCCTTAGTCCCCGTCCATTCGTCGCCACACGACTGATGTTGCTTGTCCATCTCTAATCCATTCCGTGGCGCGTCAGCATCGACCAAGATTGGTTGTTGTTACTCGTGTTCTTTTGCAAATTTTTCTGTCTACCAGTGCTAATCTTCAGATTGGCAACATAATGTAATCCCCATGTAATGTAACCTACCGGTCAGTGGCACTGTTGCATCTGAATATTTTACCGCGGGTGGGTTAGTGGCACCCATATTCTTTTCTCCGTGTGTGAAGGAAGGGAGCACCTGCTCTGCTCTTCCTCGAGTTTCCCTTTCCTTTAACGGACTTTCCATGGCTTTTGCCGCCCAGATGACGTGATGGAGCCTGGACCGCTCTGCCTGCTGCTTCGTGCTGGGTCTCTGTCGCTTGCTGCTCGCCACTTGTTGCTGCGTTGGTGCGGCTTGACTCTTCTGAAACTGCAAGACGGCTCTTGTAGTACTCGTACATTTCAGTTCACAGACCACCTAAACAAAACATTAAAGAAACAGCAGCAGCAGCAGCAGAAGAAGATTCTTCTCGAGACAGCATCGTCCAAAAGCTGACGATCTGATGCGTGCTTGGCAACCTCAGGAGTCAGGCCTCCCGAACTCTGGAATTCAGATGCTCTGGAACTTGGAAGCTGCCTCCTCCTCGCATGTTTGTTACTTTGTTACTACCTCCGTCCCTAAAAAAAAATCACAGTTCTAGCATAGTGCCATGTTTTAGTGATCAATTATAAATAAGGAAAGTATCAATGTTTATGATACCAAATAAAAATTATCAGATTAATTGGATAATGTATTTTTCATAATAAATTAATTTACAACCATAAATATGAATAATATTCACTAAAAACTTAGGCAAACGTGAATAATTTTTCGTGGCACGTAACCCATAGTTGCATTTTTTTCACGTTAGAGGTAATACTAATAACGAAATTCTAGCAGAATACCATCAAGTTTTTTCTTTTTTTTTCACAAAAACATGTTCGAAACTCAACAGTTCTACTCCTATGTCAAATCTATGAAATTTAAAGGGACGCGACAGGTCTGTGCTATAGATGGAAGTGCTACCTCTCCATCTCACCCTTTTCGCTGGTCATCATAGATTCCTACTCGCAAACGACAAAATTTGATATAAGTGGAATGACAAAAAAAAAAAAAAAGAACATCAAAGTATCCCATGGAACGTCTATCCTGCAAAAGGATGCAATTTTAGTGTAGACCTTAGTCAGAACATCTAAAGTTTGACAAAAATTTATAAAAAAAATAGGAATATTTATGACACTAAATATGTATATAAAAATATTACATGATAAATATTATGATACTTATTTAGTACTATAATCATCTCAACTACTCCCTCCATTTTGAAATACAGGGCCGCTGTATTAGTATTAGTATTAGTATTAGTATGCAAAAAACATTGTAAACTTTGACCATCAGTTATCATATACAGTACTGGGTAGTAAGAGAAACTAGTGGTCAAAATATATCTTGAAAGACTTACTCAGATGTTTAAAAAAAACAGCAAGCCCTAATGCGCATGCAGGTTACAAAAAGAAATGGAGTGTACTCGTTATCGTTATCATCATTCAGAGCTTGCTTGTCCGCTCCGCGGGCACTGCGCGTGGATGGCTGGAACGCCCGCGGTGCATCTTTCCACTCCCCAAAGCTCATTTGTAATCTGACGATCGCAAGTTGTTTATCTCTCGGGCCGCGTGCACACGCCACGGGGCAAGAGAGCTGACCTCGCACCGCTACGCGCGCGATCCAGGCTAGAGTTTCCAGCAAGCTAGCCAGAGCACTCGCGTTCCGGACGGACGACGGCCCCTTCGATAGGAAGCGAAGTCGTCGTGCTGCGGCCTGCGGCGGTGGGCTTGGCAGGCAGCAGCAACCAGACAGCTGGTAGCAGACACGCCGTGGCTTTGGCGTCGGATCGACTTGACCGGAGGCGCTGCTACTGCTAGCTGGGGCCTGCCGGCGCGCGCCCGGTCGGCCGCTAGTGGCCAGTGGCGGCAGCAATTGTGCTCCACAGCTGTGGCCGCGCTCTGCGCGTGCGTGCGGGGACGGATCGGACAGCCCTGCCCCCGGCCCGGCGGCCCCCCCGGATATGGATAAGCTAGGCTCGCGCCGCGGACAAATCCAGAGCAGGGCTCCCCTGCTGGCTGCTGCTCTCCGCTCCGCCCCGGCCGGCTCGCCGGTCGTCGCCTCGCGCACGACCCTCCTGTCGGGCCTGCTGTGCGCCCGTGAACAACGACCTGCGTTACATGCGGCTCAGGCTCTGAAAAGTGGAGAGAGAATCCAAGATGTTACGTTACAAACACGACTGAGGTGCCTGCCGTGCGTGCCGACGCGGCGATAGCGAGGCGGTGACTGGTGACAGGCTGACAGTTCCATGGACCTCGTCGTGACGGGCCGGGAAGGGATGTCGTCGAACCCGGCCGGCCGAATCGCCGTCGGCGCCTCTGGCTTTGTTGGCTCGCGCACGCGCCGCCGGTCCATGAGGACCTCGTGGTGTAGCCTCTACGACCAGGTAGGCCCGTGACGGCCGGCACGCCGCAAGCAACGCATGCCGGGCGGCTAAAGCTACTGTGCATACAAACCGCGGACAACGCTAGACAACTTTGTGTGCACTGTTTGTATGATATGATGCTGCTTTTTTAAACAAAGAAGAGAGAGAGAGACTGTTGATGGTCTGAGCAGGGGTTCACAATCTGTGACTGTGACACATTGTGATGCTGATACGTTTCGGCATTTCTTTAATTCTTGTGCACGCACGCACTTGCTGCACTGTATAACAACGCCCCCTGGATTCGACTCCTCTGCTTCAAGCAAAACCCACTAAACGAGCAGGCATTCCATTACCGTCAGCTAATGCCCACGATCCTGCAGGGCCCAGCAGGCATTAGCATTTACCAGCAAAAGTGAGGATCGGAGTGAAAGAATGATTAGCGTGGCCAATGCAACCCCACATGCAGATGCCGATGCGACAACGCCAAAACGTGCGGTTCGGGGGCCAGGGCAGACCGGCAGGCGCGGCAGCCGAATTTTTTACTTTTTAGCCCTTTTTTTTAAAGTTTCTCGCAAATAGATATATGAGGAAAGATTTCAGTATCTGGACCCTTAGTTCGGCGCCATCGAAGCTGGCGCTGAGCTAACACTGGCGTCGAGATCTTGAGCTCGACGCTGCCGTGGTGCTGATTTGGCGTCGAGCTCGGTGCCGTATATCCTGGCGCCCAGCTTGGCGTTCGGCGCCGGCGCCGAGGTGCTGTACATCCAAATACTGTACGATGTAGGAGTATCGCCTGCAGAGCTCTCGAGAGCCGGGACTCTCAGCCTGTTCGCTTGTTGGTTTCAGCCAGCCCAAACCAGTCAGCTAATAATGTTTTCCTGTCAAAAAAACCAGCACCAGCCAGCCTAAACCAGCATCAGTCCCGACCAGCGAACAGTCCCTCTGGAAGAAAACCCATGCAGTTTCAGAAGCAGGACGGGGCTTTGCCGGGCTGGCTGGACAGGACAAGTCATGAGAAATGGCGCGAGCAAACAACAGACAAGGGTTGAATTCGTGCCTGCCTACTCGTACGCTACTGTCGAGCTAAGCTAAGCTAGCTAGCTGGACGCATCAAACTTTGTGGCGCAGCAGACGTGGTAGTTGAGGGAGGTGAAATGCGATGCTGCTACACTAGTCAGCACTGAGAATCGGCACGGTAAATGCGATGCACATAGGCCATGGGTAGGCCTATGGGTGTCATAAAAAACTGGTAGCATTCATCCACAGGAGGGTTCTTGTGTGGCAAAAAAAAAAGTATATGTATCGTATGTCCATGAACTTGTGTCGTGGTGTTAGTTAGGTCATAAACTCTCTAATCGTACGTCTTAAATCCTAATGTTATTTAAGCATGTCACTTTGGTCCATAACTCATCGGATCAAGGTTTTTGCCGACGTGGCAGGGATAGAGCGCACGTGAGTGGTCATGGCGCATGCTGCATGCGGCGGCGGACGTGGACGTGGACGTGGACGTGGTCGCTCTGCTCTGTCACCTCTACTAGGCTGCCTCCTCGTCTTCTCGCTGCTCTGCCTCCGCGCCGTCGTCTGCCGCGCACAGGAGCCGGGGCACGGGCAGCTGCAGCCCAGGAGGGCAACTCGCGGGAGCAAAAGGAGCTGGCGTTCCAGGAGGAGCAAGGAGCTGGCGTTCAGCAGGAGGCCCGCATCTACCAGGGCGCGATCCAGGTCTCCCCGGACACCGGCAACGTCGGCAGCTACCAGGACATCATGGTCAACAAGTCCGGCTCCGTGCTCCTCCAGCGCCGCTTCACCATGTGGCGCCGCGTCGACAATGGCAGTGGCAGTGCCACGGCCCCGCGCGTCCAGGTCGTGTCGTTCAACAGCACCTTCTCCATCAACGTGTTCCACCTCCCGGACTCATCGTCGCGGCCCGGCGAGGGGCTCACCTTCGTCGTCGCGCAGTCCCGCGACGAGCCGCCCCCCGACAGCTACGGCGGCTACCTCGGCCTCACCAACGCCACGCTCGAGGCCAACCCAACCCCGGCGAGGAACTGCTTCATGGCCGTCGAGTTCGACACCACGAAGCAGGACTACGATCCCAGCGACAACCACGTCGGCTCTGTCGTGTCTGTCAAGGTGGCAGGTGCCCGGCCCCGTACACCGCGAGGTGCGCCAGTGAGCCCGACCGCTGCACGTACGCCGCGAGCTCGCCGGCATCCGTCCGCCACAAGGCGCACAGGCCGTCCCAGCGCACCCTGGCCAGCCACGCCTCCATGGACACGACGCCGTCCCGGAGGTTGCGGACACCCTGGTACAGTAGCACGCGGGTTGTGCGCCGCCCCCGTCGCAGCAGCGACTCCACTCTCCACCTGCGGCCTCATGTTGCGCATCACGTCGCCGCGCCCACCGCGCATCGCTGCACTCCTGCCACGCCACGTCCCCGCGCGCGCCCACGCCCGCTGCTTCGCGAGGTCGTACAGTGTGGCCAGCCCCGTCATGTTCTGTAGCCGCGAGCCCGCGACAGCACCCACCCGTGCGCTTCCGCTGCCGCGACCCACCACCGCGCCACCAGCGTTAGCGTCGTGGACCAGAGCCTCGGTGTCGACGAGTTCGACCACGACGAGGCCGGACGCCTGCTGCTGCTCCCGCTGGCGTGTAGCAGTCCCAACCCGGGTCAAACCAGGCTCACGCGTGTTTCACGTGCGCTCTGTCCCCGCCACGTCGGCAAAAACCTTGATCCGATGAGTTATGGATCTAAGTAGCATATAGGTCTAAGTGGCATACTTAAACAACACTAGGCGGATGTATATGCGATTAGAAAGTTTGTGGGCCAAGTGTACTCACGAGACAAGTTCAAGGGCTTGATGCATATACCTAAAAAGCAGAATTTGGCTTGGAAGCAAAATAAAAATGCTAGACGTAAATAATGGAAGGCAAGATAGGGTGCTGTACACTAAACATCTGGTTGTCCAGCAGGCTATAGTGGATCACAAAAAGGGGACAATTTCCTACAAACTCGGATAATTCTTTGTGTTTTTTTAAATAACTGAATAAACAATATTGAATCAACATTTTAATAAGAAAATGGTCCACAACATGTAGCAAAGAAAGCCACTACCTGCGGCACAATTAATAATAATAGTGCCTTTTTTTACTCACTGTGCTGTGGCCATTGATAACTGGACATCTAAGAAAATGATTTATGAGTAAAGATATCACCTATATCTTGATAGACACCACAACTTTGTGACAAGAAATTTTACATTTGCCATCCAGAATAGGTTTCAGAATTATTACTGGTTTACGTAACACTGACGTCAAAAGAACATGGCAGTTTTGCTTCAAGGAGTAAAGGTTACCCACGTTCCAACATGCTGGAGAGGCTGTGTGTCGTGAACAATTCATTGAAGCTTGTGGAGGTCGAAAAGGCAACTTATTCAATAACTTTTCTCCATTTGGTCTTCTTGATTCAGCAATACCAGCAAGAAAGAAGTTCCTCCCAATGTTCATTAGCCTCTATGCTTGTCTGACATTCTACAAATTTGAAGGAAAATTCATAAGTTCCCCAAATAGGCATCAATCAAATTGATGGCACTCATAATGGAATGGCAACTGCTTTTAGTAATCAAATGCAGTTTCCATCATCTGGTAAACTCTAGATCATGACTTAACTCTTTGAACTGAATCAAGGACTTAACACCAGCAACCTTGAGGCTATCATTGATATTGTCCAGTGGCTTTCAAACCTGACAAATACCTTTTTACATCACTACTAAACCATAGGCAGATCAAACATGGCAACAATACATGATTCATTATCCTATAGGATTGTCCATAAATATGAGGCACTTAACAATTGTATGCTAAGGAGGTACTAGAACTATATTTTACATATTGGTCTTATTCGCTTGTCTTATAATCCAGTACTTTCAAATTTTTTTTCAGGTGGAGCAGTGTTTTTTCTTCACAACAAATTTACCAATAAGTGTTTAGAAGCTTATTTTTTTCAATGGGTTTAATGGGGCCATTAAGGCGGTGAAGCAGGTATGTATGCCTTTCTGCTTCGTTTAGGAGACATTTGGGCTTTATAAGCCATGGCTAAAAGTATCTTGTTGGTGGTTTGGTGTTACTGAAAAATATTGTTACGTTAGGTGATAAGCCATGGCTTATAAGCGAAATCGACACAGATGATCAAACTGGTGGTTACTGACACTGCATGGACATAGTGTCGTAAGTAAATTTGAAGTAGCTATATAATATACAAACACCAAGTTGAGCGACCAAGGTTCTAAGTAGGTTGAGGTGTTTTTTTTCAGGCGCCATTACTATGTACAGAGGGCTGAGTGCAAAATAAAATCTTGCGTGTGGGGAAAAATGGTTAAGCGAACGTCTTGTTCCGTGGCATCACTCCCTCTGTGTCATAAAGGTAGCAATTTTGTTGAGTGTAAAATTGAGGGAGTAAGAGAGACGGTTTCAGGTTTATGCCGGTTCTGTTCAGTGTGTAATAACAGATTCTGTTTAGGCGCACACATGCAGCTGATTTCATTGAATCAAACTTGAAGGTACAGAAGTCATCATGAATATAGATACGAAGAAATAGGCAGCCATACCTTAGTACATGTTTAGTTCGCGAAATTTGAAAATTTAATTTCTTATAAAGACTTTCGTTTTTATTTAGCGATTAGTGTTCAATCATTGACTAATTAGGCTCAAAAACGTTAAATACCGCGATTTCGAATTAATTGTGTAATTAGTTTTTTAAATTCTACATTTAATGTTTCATGACGCGTGTCATAAGATTTAATGTGATGACTATGCATAGCATTTTTTAGGATTTTTTAAACTAAACACAGACTTAGAAATAAACTGGCAATCAAAATATATGTGAACCAAGAAGGAGATCCTTCCAACTGTTCAATTGATGCTGCGTATCACCGGTGAATATTGAATCAGACTTGAAGGCATCGCATTTACCGTGCCGATTCTCAGTGCTGACTAGTGTAGCAGCATCGCATTTCACCTCCCTCAACTACTACGTCTGCTGCGCCACAAAGTTTGATGCGTCCAGCTAGCTAAAGCTTAGCTGGACAGTAGCAGTACTACGAGTAGGCAGGCACGGAATTCAACCCTTGTCTGTTGTTTGCTCGTGCCATTTCTCATGACTTGTCTTGTCCAGCCAGCCCGGCAAAGCCCCGTCCTGCTTCTGAAACTGCATGGGTTTTCTTTCAGAGTCCCGGCTCTCGAGCGCTCTGCAGGCGATACTCCTGCTTCGTACAGTATTTGGATGTATAGACCTCCTCGCCATGGACACTGGCGCCAAGTTCGGCGTCCACAGCGCCGAGCTCAGTGCCGTATATATGGTACTGAATTGCCTCAAAATCAGCCACCACGACAGTCGGTTAAAGAGATCTCGGCGTAAAGAACGATGACGTCGAGCCCAAGATCTCAACGCCAAGCGTCGATGGCGTAGCACTAAGAGTCCAGATTCCGAAATCTTTTATCTGGTGAGTCTATTTACAAGAAACTTAAAAAAAAGGCTAAAAGTAAAAATTTACGCGCGGCAGCAGCAGACGAAGAAGGATTCGTCGAATCGAAATCGAGAAAACATGGCCATGGCATGATGGCGGGACGGGGCCACGGCCGAGGCCAGCGGGGCACCCTCCATTCGCCTGGCCGCCCGGCCGCCGTCCGTCCGCCGGAAGCGACCAGACCAACAGTCCACTTCCACCATGGCAGTGGCCCCCGCCGACTTGGCAAATTGCATGGAATTGGACGGGGCGCACCAGCATTCGCAGCATCTTAACGCCTAATACTGTCTCCAACAAAAAAAAAAAAATACACATATGGGCATCTAAATCTAAATGCGTAGTAAGAGGCGCAAATCGGTCTTTAAAATATCCTTATCTGAGAGATCTATTTTGGGTTGTGCGAAAGAATGGCCGAAAATATGGGCGTGTCTCTCCTAAAAACCCATTTATAGAAAGGATTATCTTTTTGGATCTTTGTTGTTGAAGATATGCTGAATAAGTATTAAACGCGCACCGCATGTGGCCACCCGAATAACGAATGGATGTTGTATTTTGGTTGTTGCGGTTGGAAATAGCCTAAGCAAACATCCGATCACCCGTCCGGCATTTTCCTTTTCCTCCCAAAGTCCCAATGATGACGGGCGGCCCTGGCCCTGCTGCCCCGTCATCGTCGTGCAGCCTGCAGTGCAGGGATCCGATTCGATCGGCTCGATCCGGCGGATCGGAGGCAAATATCTCTCGTTAAGGCCCCGTTCGTTTCATAGGGAATGGCTATCAGAAAAAATTCCGGCCGGGATTGATAGTCAATTTATACAAGCTTTTATTACCTGGAATGATTTCTGGCCACATTCACCTCTAACCGAACGGGTCCTAAACAAAACCGCCTGCAAATCCTCGAGGGGCCCCGGCTCGAATTTGAAATTCCACGAGACTTTGACTGCCGAACGCACAACTGCACTGCACTGAAATTTCGCTCCGGTTCCGGTCGTTTGCCCTTGCTAGCTAGCATCCACTGATCCATTGGCGATTGGCGTTGGCACGCCCATCTATCGGCCATCGCTTTCGCACAGATCTCCTCCCGTCAGCACAGTGTTTAGTTCCCCTTGAATAACTGATAAACATCCTAATAGCCCATAAACAAATGCTCGAGCAACACATCACACCAACAAGCTAGCAAGTGCACAACTTTCACAAGGCAGTCAGGCAGTCAGGTAGCCAGAGGCAGGGAGGATGAACTGAGTCCGTGCCCGGTCGTCATAGGAGAAGAAGGTGGAAAGAAGAAGGGGCCGGGCCAGGGCATGCACGATCGCACCGGCCATGGGAAAGATAAGGGATGATTAAGACTGAAGAGCCCCCACCACACCACCCGCTTTATTCAGTTGCTGTTGCTCCGCGCTCAAGCTGATGGGGATGCCTGCCAGGGCCCATCTCTCCCTCGAGTTGGTCAGGTTTTTCAAATTTGAATTTGAAAGTGATGCGCATGCGCGTCTCTAGTTTATTTGAGGCTGGGTCAGTTCTCAGTTCTTGTGG